TAGTAAAATGAGCAAAAAATATAAGCAATTCACAGAAGAAAAAGAAATGGCCAAACACAATAGATCTGCAACTTGTTTAACAATATCAATAATAATAGCACATAATATTTACTATGCATTGGATGCTTTTCTAAATGCTTTAGAGATCAACTCATTTAATTTTACCACCTCATGAGATACATACTATTATCCCTATTCTACAGATGAGAAAATAGAGGCAGAGGTTAAAAATGTTGCTCAGAGACACACAACCAGGAGTGCAGGGCTAGAATTACAATGAATGCAGTATCGCTCCACAATCCAGTATAGTTGGATCTAGAGACCCAGAAAAATACAAAAAATATAAAACAAGATATCATTTGTGGTCTAAATTGGCAAAAATAAAAAAGACTTACATAGTCAATGTGGAAAATTGAGTATTGTCAATATTGTTGGTGGGAAAACATAATAGCACTTTCTTTTTATAGTAATAAGCTATTCTTATAGGAACAGATACTCTGAAAGAAAGTTCAGAAAAATGATTTACCCAATAAAAAGTATATAAGAGTCAGGTAGTTTCTCACTAAAACATTAATTTTATTTTTTCCCTGAAGGTAATAGTAAATCCTAAAGCTCCTGCTTTCCTTTTCTCTGAATCCTCAGATGCCAGTAAAGCCTACCAGAGGATGAGCACTCCATTGCTCTTATGCTTTTTTATGTGGCTGTTTCCCATGTGCTTCAGTATTTAATCAGCTCATGTCAAGCTTTCCCTGAAAGCCTGTTTATTGATGTACCAACATCATCATTGAATTGGTTAATTCACCTTTCCTTCTGGTGGACTAACAGTTTTCTGCTCTCTACTCTTTTCCATATTTTCCCTTTAGCCTCTTTCTCAACAGGCTCAAGAGCCAAATATGAAGGTAAGAAGCTCAAACTTTCCTTTTCTACTTTGTTCAAAAGCCATTAAAAAGATCTTTCTCATTTTCAGTAATACGTTAATTCCAATCAGACAAAAAAATGCTGCTTCTGAAATCTCTCAGATCTCCATATTCCCTGGTTTACTGTCTATAGTACCTGTTACATAACAATAAAAATTACTGAAGGGAAAAATAAAGTAAATGTCATAGCTTTTCTAACACTTCAGTCAACCCTATCTACTTACTGGCTCCATTATGAACAGAAACACAGAAAGGTACATAGGGCTAAGAAAGAGGCCGTTACTAAACTTCACTACATAAAGGCACTGATAGTCCGTCATGAATGTCAGTAGGCAAAGGTGATACAGCCTTCAGTTTTTAAAAAAGGCATAGTAAGTTAGTTTCCATTTGTAAAATTTCATTTGCACATCCAAAACCTCCTGTACCTTTTTTGCATTGTGTTCTAAAATTTACTACCAACTTGGTTTCCCAGTATGAGAAAGCAATTACACTTTGCAGAGATGAAATGGGCATTGTGAAAACACAACAGGTGGCTCAGAGAACAGTGCTTTACTAAACCTCCAGGTGAGGAGCCCTAAAGTGATGACTACATTTCCACTGAGAGAGGAATTTAAGACTGTTCCATATTGTACAGATAGGGTGCAAGAAGAGATTAAGGTCATCAGGAAAATGTCAGATTGGAATATACAACAAGATCACAGTTTTTCATCTGCATTATAAGGTTACTGACTAACACTCCATTAAAAGACAAGGCTTCCTTACTACATTAAGAGGCGAAGGTTGCAAAAGCGGCACCACAACAGGCCTCAGGCAATGATTTCCATGTCCTATTATATCCTACCGTGTCCCCAATGTAATCAAATAATTGCTGGACAGCTCCACCATAGCTAGGCGTTAATCACACCAACAGAAGTGAGCAAAGATACCTTTTCTAGGAGTCCCAGTGCAAAACCAAAGCGCCTCAAGGCATCCCACACAAAAGTATGATGGTCCTCATCTTGTTGGGAAGAAAACGGAGTAGGTGAGGGGAGCAGCAGAGACCATACAACGCCTCAAAAGCCCAAGAGAGTTAAGACGAGGTCCATCTCACACTTTCTTTCTCCACCTCCCTGTACTACTCCAGCCCTGGAGGAAGCCACAAGTGACGAAGAGAAGTTGTGGAAACAAGACGGGGTGGGGTGGGGGACCTGAGAGAGTTTAACACAAGCATTAGCATTTGTCCCACTGAAGGTCACTCGCTCCAAATCACTTTTCCCAGTTTCCCGGTGGGCTTCCAGCCAAAGTGGCTTCTAGGCTTCGAGGAGAGCCCACCGCGCCCCTTCGGCCCTTCCCGCGGGCCGCCGCACCCACTCGGCCTCTGGGTCCCGGCCGGAGCTCGGAGCCCGGCTGGCCTCCCCGACACCCGTTTCCGACGTCCGGCACCTCTCGCAGCTCAGTCGCCGGGGCTCCTCCGCCTCCGCCCCCCGGGACTCCCGTCCACGTCCCCTTCCTCCCTCAGGACGCCTCTGTGCCCGCCTCCCGCGCCCGGTCCCGCCGGGGCCCCGGGACGCCGTTCCTTTCCTCTCCTCTCCCGCTGCCCTTCTTCCCGGGTGCCCACCAGGCGCGGCCCCCACCCCCGGCCGGTCTCCTCAGGGAACGGCCGCCTCCCAAGTCCTCCCGCCCCGCCCCGCTCCCGGGCGGATACAGTTTGAAGCCCCTCAGGATCTCCCTGGCCCTCTCGTCCTTGGATGACATGATGCGGCAGCCGCCGCCCGCGGCTCTCTCACGCTGGCCGGCGGAGCCTCGCAGACGGTGCCCAAGAGCCGAGGACAGAACCGCAGCCCAGCTCGCAGACCTCGGGCGAGCAGCGGCAGCGGCCAGACCCGGACCGGCCTCTCTCTCCCCTCAGCTCCCGCTCCTGATCCCTTCTCCTTCCCTCTAGCCTGGGAGCGCCCGCCCCGAAGCCAATGGAAAGCCCGCCTCGGAGATTGGCAGCCTCAGCAGCCAATAGAAATGCCCAGCGACTTCGCAGGGGGACGAAGAGCGTCAATGGGAAGGGCCCTCCCCGGGAAGTCCTATAGGACAAAATTTTCATTCGGTGTTGTTGCCTAGAGTTTGCCCCAGCGGAGGGTTGGTTCGAGATCTGCAGAGGCTCGAGGGGCCTGCTCTCGCCGCCGGCATACTAGCCTTCAGAGACGACGGCAGTTTGCCCTGTGCGATGTGGTAGAGACTACATTTCCCAGAATCCCAGGGGAGCTCCGGGGGACCACAGATCCCAGCACACCACAAAGCGTCCCGGGGACTACAAATCCCAGCATTCCTTGCACTGTTTCTCTGTAACTTAGACTCCAGTGTGCCGTGCAGTGTGCGCAAATTTGTAAACCTTGGTGGTTTCTCAATCCGGAGCCTTGAAACCAGGCGTGAAGGCCCTCTTCACCCTCAAAAGAAGATGACAGCCCGCAGAGAGTTAACTTCTTTTTACATGGAACTCGAATCTGCACATTATGGTAAGACTGCAAACAATAAACAAAAACACTGATTAAATCATGAAAGATAGCACAAAATGACCTCTTCAAATTGTGCTTGTTTGTTGATCTGGGGCGCCTTTTACGTGTTTTGCAGGAGTTTCTGGTGCGTTCCTGCTTTGGACTGGGAGTGCTATCGATTTTATACTCAGATATCAATAGAGGCAGGGACTTTAAAGAATTTCCTAATCTAACCCTTGTTGCTTTTACATATGAGGAAATTTGAGGCCCAGAGAGGTGGAGAGATTGGCCACAGATTACAGCATGTTGGGACAGAGTTAGAATTCGGCCGTATGTCTGCTGACCCTCATTTTGGGCTCTTTGCACCACACTAGGGAGGTGATAATTTTAGCAGCATGGTAGTGTTATTATTCTCCTTGATGAGCAGTTTTCCCGTCCAGGGTTGAAACACCCAGAGGTTAGGTAAGCATTTATTTGGTGAATTTCCTGCAAGTGAGGAAGTGTGATATTTGTTTATCTTTAGCCCAGGCAGAACTTGGTGTTTTGATTTGTTCTTTGTGACTCAAGGTGACATTTAATGTGACTTCAGGAAGTAGGTAAAATTACAGTGTAAGGCATGGTTTCCTGGGAGAACTCCTATGTCCTTTCCTAGGCTTCCCTTTCTCTTCTTGTTCCCCCTTTCACCCATCTGGGCACCCACTCAATTTTTTTCTTCCATGACATGTTTTCAGCTTCTGTTATTTGTCGGGCACTGAGTGGGTAAAAGGTGAAAGACATGGTCACTGCCACCGGGAAGATAACCATCTATTTGGGGAAATAAGGAGACTCCACTGAAATTTAGGATGTAGTGTGATAAATGGCATAAAAGAAATGACATCAGACTGCTACAGAGGATGGAGAGATTTTTTCCAGATGCAAAACTTTATGGAGGAGGTGGCATTTGAACTTGAAAGATGGGTAGTTCTTTACATAGTCTGAATACTGAATTAATTCTTCGTCTTATATGTACTTTGCAAATATCTTTTCCAAGGCTGTGGGTTTTCTTTTCACCTCTTTCTGGTATCTTGTGAAATAGAAATTCTTAGTTTTCATGTAGTACAGTAGTTCAGTTTTTTTCTTTTCTGTTTAGTGCTTTTTTGCATTGAGGTTAAGAAATCTTTGCCTATAGGATTGGTAGGATTTTTACAGGCAAAAGCATTGCACAAAAGAAGAGAGAGCAAGGATGAGCACAGTCCCGGTGTCATACAGGGAAGGTATAAGTCGAGCTGGGAGTGGGAAGGCCTGGAGTTTGAGCTGTGAAGGGGGTTAGAGGAGACAAAGTGGAAGCGTTAGGAGGGAGGCACATAGTGAAGGGCTTTAACTGCAGCCATGGAGTCTGGATGTTATTATGGAGGAAGCAGAGGCATTGATAGAATATCTATGCAGTCAAACTGAACACAGTTGTCTTCCTCCCCCCTCCAAATTTGCCCCTCCTCTTCCGTAGCCCTATTCACTTAACACCACCTCCAGACAGCTCTGGCCTCCCAGGCCAGAATCCTGGGGGATATACCCCTTTCCTCTCCCTGCATTCAGCTGGTCACCAAGTCGTATAGGTTCTATAGTCTAAATGTCTCCAACCATGGCACTTCTTTTTCATCCCATACTGCCAGTACCTTTGTTCATGATTGTACAATCTCTTATCTGGAATAAAACAGTCACTTCAAGGATTTCCCTGCCTCTAGTTCTCTCCACATCCAATCCATTCCCATAGAATCTAATCTGATCATTCTAAAATGGCAATTATTCATACCTCTTCCTAGTTTAAGAAGCCTAAATAATTCTCCAGTGCCCTAAAGATAAAATTAAAAACCCTTCACCGCTTATGCCCTTTGTGATTTACATGCTCATTTTTGCAGATTCAACTGAAGCTTCATCTCCTCCAGAAGCATACTCTGAATCACCTCTCCTTAGGGCACAGGCAGCAGAGCCTTATCTATACTCCTAGGGTGCCTGTGGCAACCCTCTGTCATAGAGGGGCAGGCCTGTCTCTCCCAGGGAACTGTGAGCTCTCCAAGGTATGAGTTTTGCTGTATTTAGGTTGTTACTGTGTAACCCTTGATGCCCTGACCCCAGCTCGGTACCTCTCATTTCCCACCCCTGAACCCTGGGTTATAGCCACTCTGGATTTCGTTCTGCATCAGTATAGGCTACATAGTGTAAGGCTCTTTTCTTCCCAAGCCTATTCTCTTCTCTACTTCCAAAATGTTGTAATCTCTCTCACAGCACTTAACACATTGGAACTTTTTGAGGTCAAGAACCTTGTTTTAGGGCCGGCCCATGGCTCACTCGGTAGAGTGCGGTGCTGATAACAACCAAGGCCCCGGGTTCGGATCTCACATAGGGATGGCCGGTTCGCTCACTGGCTGAGCGTGGTGCTGACAACACCAAGTCAAGGGTTAAGATCCCCTTACCGGTCATCTTTTTAAAAAAAGAACCTTGTTTTATATTCATATAACCTTCTAGATTCTAGATCATAATAGGCACTAAAGAAATGTTTCAAATAAATGAATAAATTGATTGGTGCTGGGCCCCTTTGCATCTGTCCTATCTGATAGGCAAATAGGGCTCTTTTGCTTGTTGTCAACACCTGAAAGTATGTGGTTTTTACTTTAAAGGAATCAGTTGACTCTTTGGTTATATGGCCTTTCTTAACCATCTTCCCAGGTGAGTTGGTCAGCACCAAATGCAACTATACAAATGACATTTTGGTCACAGAACAATTGTTGGCTCAATCCATCTCTTACTTATCTTAAAAGATTTCCTGAATAGAGGTCAAGAACATGGTCTTTGGCTTCAGATAACCTGGGTTCCAAAGCAGGCTTTGTCACTTACTGACTTACGGACTTTTAGGCTTAGTTAACTCACCTGGAAAAATGGGAATACTATTACAGGCCATAGACTTATGAGAGTTCAAATAAATAATACATGTACAGCATATGACACATAGAAAAACGCTCAATAAATGGTAGTTCTTATGAGCAGTACGTTTCCGTACCCAGAGGTGGCCACAGTCGTTATAGTGAGCTCCAGAGCTGTGAAGCTCAGCGAAAGGGGTGGATTTGGGGCCCAGGATGGTAATGTCGACCGTTTGGGCCCCAGTACGGCCTAGGCGGCATTCTTCTCTTCGGGCCCCTAGCCATCCCCATCTCCGTCCAGTTCCCGGGCTGCACCCCGGCTGGGACCCTCTTCTCTGGCTTCGCCCGGTTCCACCGAAGGTCAAAGCTGGAAACGCAGCAGGAGGAACTTTGTGTGGGCGGAACTCGAGTGCAGCGGCGGGAGGCTTCCGGGGGAGCTGCACGGGCGACGGGTCGGCGGAGGCAGAAAAGCGCCGGACGCCGGAGCGATCATGGACGCTTGACAACCTGCGGGCAGGCGCCGGGAGGCCGAGCCAGCGACCAAGAGGACCGAGAGGCGGCACGGACAGGTAGGGGCTGGCGAGAAGGCGGGCTGCGCTGGGGCCCGTACGCCAGGCTGTGCCGGACTGTCCTACTGCACGCTGGTCGCCAGGAAAGCCCGCGGCCGCGCCGCCCCGCCCCCGCCCCGGAGAGTGCGCCCCGCGGCTTCTTACTCCACGCCTGCGGCCCTGCCTGGAGCACGCCGCCCGCCTTTAAGTCCATCCCAGCTCGCGACCCTCAGCTTCCTCACTGTGGCTGCTCTCGGTCCCCACCCCCAAAAGCTGCTCCTTTGCCCCTCTCCCGTCCATCAAAATACCGCCCATGCCTGACGGGAATTCATCTCCGCCAGGTCCCTAGCCTCCTCCTCCCGCCCTCCCACTCCAGAAGAAAGTGACTCTCACCATCTCCTTACACTCTCTGTCCCCACAAGCTTTGCTCCTCAGGCCGAGATCTTTCGGAGGGACGGAAGTTTCTCTTCATTTCCCTACCCACTCTGTACCCCCAGCTCCTTCCATTCATTCTCTTGGCAGAGATCTCCAGCTGTTCCTTCACGCGTGTCCACTTGGAAGGACGGTTTTGGTTCCTCCTCTCCTAACGATCACCTACCCTTCTTCCCTTTCTCATCCTTTCTCCTTTCCCTTTCCCTTCTCAGAACTCTTTGGTCCCTAGCACTTCATTTTTTTTTTTTTTTGTTGTTTATGACAGGACCTTATTAGGTAACTCTAAGAGAGGCGACGTCCTTGTTTGTCTAATATGTGAAAGGGCTGCTGCTCTGTGTGACTTCCTCCGCAGGAAAACTTGGTTTCTCTTGTATCAAACTATCCTTCTTTGAATTGTTCTCTTTTTCACCTCACTATACCTCTTTTCCTTCATTTTGTCATGCAGCCCCAATATGTATCATTTTTGGAGGAGAAATCTTTTCTTATGTGGTACTTCTGTTGAGTAGGTATGCAGTGTGTCTGCATCCACTCAGCATGTCATTAGATTACACAATTGAGGGACCTTCCTATAGTCAACGTCTTCAGGATGGCAATACAATATCTTCATTGTTTTCCCAAATCTTTTTATTTTCTTGAGGTTTTGTACAAGTTCTGAAGTCGTATTTGGTAAAATGTCACATTATCAGGAGGAGGTCAAATAGAGGGATTTTCCCACTGACTTGCACAGCGTGTATTAGTTTAAATATGTTGCGCCTTATCTTTCCAAATTTGATTTTCCCTTTTCTTGTGCTTAAATGACTTCTTTGATTGAATGAGACATCTTTCTTGTCAGCTTTTTGTGTCTTGTCTGTTTCTGGTTGTAGATGGGATTCTGAGGATACACTGGAAGCTGTAACTGATTCCTTTTGCTTACATCTGGTGCCTCTGTATATGGGCAATATCTTCTGTTTCTTAACAGAAGAGTCTGTAAATGAGGTGGATGTAAAACAGCTACCGAGAAACTCCTGCATATTTCTTTAGGTCTTGGTCAGGTTTAAGGACTTGGAAGGTGTTGCCTCTGAGAGAGGAGTGGATAGGGGTGAAGTGACTTTTACAAAGTGTGTTTCAAACCTCAGAATTGAGGACAAGAGCCTTTTAAATCCAGGTTGAACTGCACTCATCTCAAAGTGGTCATTGCATCCGGACACAGGAGCTGTTTTTCTTTATGAACGCTACACAACTAAAGTTTTCTGGTGTCTCATCCAGCATTAAATATGCCTTGACTTTGCAAAGGAGAAGGAAGAATGACTGACACACTTTTCCTTTGGACAGATCTTAAGGCCAGAGAATGGCAGGTGAACAAAAACCCTCAAGTAACCTCCTGGAACAGTTTATTTTACTAGCCAAAGGTACCAGTGGCTCAGCCCTTACTGCTCTCATAAGCCAGGTCTTGGAAGCTCCTGGAGTATATGTCTTTGGAGAACTGCTGGAGCTGGCCAACGTGCAGGAGGTAAGAGCAGTTTCCAAAAAAATTTCTCTAATCTTCTTTGTTCTAAGCCTTTTTGTGAATCTCCAAGTTTTCTAAGGAATTTCAGTGCTGAAGTATTGTGGACCTGTGAAGTGCCCAGTTGAGGGAGGGATGGGAATTGGTGGGGCAGGGAAGGTGATCCAGGATGATGTCTTGGGCTCCTTTTATTCAAGAGTTTCACCAAACGGGTAAAATTAGACTGGGTTGCTAATAATATGAAAGATAGTAAAAAGGTCAAATTGATCCTTATAAATTAGAAAAGTAGTGCTATACACATGGGTTGATATTTAATAGGGGTAGTTTCAGGCATTCTGAGGGACAAAAAACCCTCCAGTACAACATAGATAAAAAAGATTGGTCAGGGGCACACATAGCAGAAAATTATTACTATTGAACATGTGATGGGTATGAATAGGAAGATATTGTTTCTTTGGAAAAAGGCAATGTTGTGCTAAAGTAGATGTATTAAAAAGATAATGACATAAACAGCTAGGAAGTAGTCCATTTTACTTTGTTTGCTTATTTGCCTGTTGTTATTAAAACCTTGGGTATCCAGTTTTGGTCATTGTGCCTCAAAGGTGAGAAGATCTGTGAAGAATGACCAGATGGAACAAAGAAATGTAAAGCAGCCTTTACTTCTCAGCCTCTGCTTCCCACTTTGGACACTTTAATTTCTATTATTGATTGATTAAAGCCTGCAAACACCTTTACTGCTTTGAGTGGGGCTCAGGAACTGTTGGTGGGTTGGTGGGATGGGTACGATTCCTCTTCACCGTCACAGACCTCTGGTTGCATAGGATGGCACTGGCACTGTAGGTGGCCTTCCACAGATCTGGGCAGTGGTACTTCTTGGGGATCATGTGCTGGATGCTGCTGGAGTGGCCCTGGTATTCTTATTGGTGGTGGTGTGCATGTAGAAGGTGGCCGGCTTTCACTGGGTGGTTCATTATTTCATGACCAACACAACACCTTTGCTGTTAGCTGCAGGCATTGAGCTTGTAACAGAAGGAGTTGTGGACTTCGGGTTATTGGGCTCAGTGCTGTATTTCTGCTTATTCCTCTTGATCAAGAAACTGGAGCATTCATTATTTCATGACCAACACAACACCTTTGCTGTTAGCTGCAGGCATTGAGCTTGTAACAGAAGGAGTTGTGGACCTTCGGGTTATTGGGCTCAGTGCTGTATTTCTGCTTATTCCTCTTGATCAAGAAACTGGAGCAGTTCTCCAAGGCCATCCATAGTATATGCCTACACATGGCTGCTCTCCCTGTGCAGGCCAGAGATGGAAAGAGCCACTTTAATTTCTTAATTGTAAAATTGCTAAGCTGTAAGCTCTGTGAGGGTAAGGTCTGTTGTGCTAACCATTGTTTCTTTAGAGCTGAATATATAGCCTAACACACAGTAGGCTTTCAGTAAAAATTTAGTTTTCCAGAGATGGAAAATGAATCCTATAAGGAAGATTTGAGAGAACAGGGTTCATTTTTCAGCATAAGAGATGGCCAAGAGGTAATATGTTCCTTCAGGTTCACGAAAAGCCTGAATGAATATGTGAAGTAGTTGTTTTGTAACTGTGAGAGATTGGCTAAGAAGAGATGGATGGGAATTAAAGCCACAAAGACCTTTTTGATTTAGGCCAGTGGGAGAAGTTTTGGAAAAATTTCTGCTCTAGAGAAAATAGTCGGTTGCAGCTAGTTTTGTAATTGTCTCTCTGAAAGGTGAGGGCTAGATTTGATGGTCTTTACCAGGTCTCTTCCACCTCTGATCCAGGGATATCAGGAGGTTTGTGGTAACCTGAAAAGATAAACCAAGTTATTAGGATGCCAGAGTTCTCACTGGGGTGCTTAGCAAATCACCTTTATCTCCCCACAGTTTGCATTTTTCCATATGTGAGCTGGGAATAAGCTAGTTGCCTTTCAGTGGTCTGAAATTATGGATGCAGTTCTTGGAACCTTTTTAAAAAATGGATAAAATTGAGTGGTATTGCTATTGATGTCTGCAGAATACTACTTATTCCTGTTTAGACTTTACTGAGTTTGGTAAGTTGGAAGAGTAATAGGAGCGTGTTTGTGAGTAAAAGGAACACTCAGTGAAGGTATTTGAGAGAGCAGAGCAGTTCTGCCAGAACAGTGGCTCTTCCCTTTTTCTTCTACAGATGGTTCTGTAGTAATTTTAATGAAAATTTTTATTTGGGGCAGCCTAACATCCTGGTTTTCTGTCCCAGTCTGGCTTTTCTTTTATACCTCATGCTGTGGTAATCTCTCCCAGGGCTCATAATCCACATTGGAACCAACCCTAAGCTTTGCTGAGTTTGGGTTGATGTGGCTCATGCTATACTTACCATGCTAGTGGGTAGACAAGGCTGCTCCAGTCTTTGTTTTAATGCAAAGGGAATCCTGAGAAAACTTGAACTGCCTTCAATGCTTAATGCTGTGTGTGTGTGTGTGTGTGTGTGTGTGTGTGTGTGTGTGTGTGTGTGTGTGTGTGAAAAGCAGTTACTTGGGCATGCTATGTGGATTCTTGAGGGAGAAAAATTAACTTTTGGGATTTGATAATCTTCTATATTTTTCCCCAAAGAATCAGAGAGTTGGAAGGGGCCTCAGGGGTGAACTAACCAAACAGTACATAGTAAACGGCTGTGGCATCTTTGGCATATGACCACCTGTTCTCTGCCTCTGTTTGAACACTACAGTGATTGGTCGACAGCTTGGTCTGTGGTGACCTTTTTTTTCCCCCTCCTCAGCTTGCAGAAGGAGCTAATGCTGCTTATTTGCAGTTGCTGAACCTGTTTGCCTATGGAACATACCCAGATTACATAGGTGAGTTGGTTAAGATTGTTCAAAAGACTTAATTATGTTGCTTAGTTTGGAGGATCCTTGTATAAAGCCTGGAGGTGGGGAATGGTGGAGACTTTTTGACCTGGCTGTTTCCCTGACTGTGCTCTGTAGGTAACCTCACAAAAGGAATTTCCCTTCTTACCGTTTATTTCCCAGTGGATAAAATGGGGACTGTGTGTATGCTCATCCATAAATATAGCCCTTGTTTATTTTCCAAATGAGATTCTTGAGGACTGGTGTTTGTAGAACATTTGGAGTGCTGTGAAGTGTCAGAACACACACTTGTAAAATTTTCAGTGTTTTAAATATTATGCAAATAATACCACCATATTGAAGATTTGGAAATCAGATTTAAAAAATTATCCATACTTGTACTTGCACTAAACTATTGTCAGCATTATGGTGCTGGACATTTTCTCCCCTTATGCTTGTGTGTTCTATTACACGGGTGTAATTAGATTATGTATACAATTTTATATATCTCTTTTTTCCACTTATTTCATAGGCATTTGTTCATATTTTAAGTCTTTGTAATCATTTTTAATATTAGATAATTTAATATTCCTTAATCTATTTAGCTCATTCTCTTTTGTTAGGGCATTTTAATCATTT